TGGAAGTTTCCTTCGCGCTAATTGGATCATACTTTTAGATCTAAAAGAATGGTCCTATCTCAGCAGACAATCATAAAACGGTTGCAAAATCGTTGAGTCTGCTGAACGCAGCCAGTGGCTGAGATAGGACCATTCTTCTAGATCTAAAAGTATGATCCAATTAGCGCGAAGGAAACTTCCAACAGTTGCAAAACAAACGTTCTGCTGAACGCAGCCATTGCTTGAGATTAATGTCCGTGTCACACTACGCATTGGAGATTAAGGATTGCGAATTAAGGATTAGAATTCGACCAATCAGGTAATTTTAAGTTTAATCCGTTTCGTTCTAATTGGCTGAATGTATGATAGAAACATTGCACGAGTAACTAATTCATTTTTTAATTTGATTTTAAATTTCGTGCACTCTGTCGGACCGAAACGTAACCAAGCGCATACGCATGAGGTCAGAGAGCATGAAAAAGGCATATTCGTAGCACTACATCACAGTATAGTGACTACATGTAATTGGAAACTACATGTAGTGATGCGAATTCCGGGCCGCTTGCAGTAAAGTCACTAGATCTAGTGACTTTAGCTTGCAGACGCGATCAGCGCCACCGGTCGGCGGCCTGGCGCAATCGCTAGCACACACCAAGCACGAGCCCGTGTCCGTGTGACTTGGTAGATATTGGTAGTTAGTCTAACTCTCAATATGGCGACGCCCATTAGACGCGTGTATCACAGACACATGTTCACGATAGTGTGTTTGAACACGTGCATTATTCTCTCGTAAAATATACAAATAATCTCAAAACATGCAAGAAACTATTAAAATGGAGATTGATGATAGCGTGGTAAAAGACGAAAACATTGATGCTCCAGAAATCAGTTATGAGGAAAAGCTACGATTTGTGAATACTATTTCCAAACCCATGGCACCGAAGAAGTTAACCAAAAAGATTTACAAGTGTATAAAGAAAGGTGAGTTACTTAGATATTATTTAATAACACCAATATTTTTCACAACAGTAACTTCATAATGTATATACTTTATAATATGTATACAATAATAGTATTTAAGTAATTTATTATTGTACAAAGTATATCTGTCAAGAAAATATCATGGCATGCAGTAATTATATGCAAGCAATTTTTTTTTTATTTTAGCATCCAAACATAAAACTTATTTGCGTAATGGTTTAAAAGACGTACAAAAACATCTTCGTAAAGGTGAAACAGGGTAAGCTTCATTTCCTCTATTAAATATTGAATTGTATGTTGAGGTATTACACAATTTCTCGTTTTAGTTTGGTTGTCTTCGCTGGAGATGTACACCCCATAGATATTATGTGCCACTTACCAATTGTATGCGAAGACAAAAACATTCCCTACTGTTTCACTCCATCGAGAATGGATATTGGTGCAGCGATGAATATGAAA